ATGAGGATAGGCATGCGGATGAGAATCAAGGTGAGGGTGGGGATGGGGATGGGGATGCGGACGATGATTAGGATGGGGATGAGGATGACGATGGGGATGATGATGAGGATGAGGATGAGGATGGAGATTCTGAAGAAGATGAGGGTGGGGATGCGGATGACTATTCGGATGAGGCTGAGGATGAGGGTGAGGATGAGAAGGTGGATGAGGATGATGGTAATGATGATGAGGAGGAGGAGGATTTGGAGAACGTGGATGAGGGTGCGGATGAGGACAGAGGCGGAGGATGAGGAGGAGGATCACGAAGAGGAGCAGGATGAGGATGAGGACGGAGATGTGGATGCGGATTATGATGAGGATGCGGATTAGAATGAGGATGATGAGGGTGATGAGGATGATGAGGATGAAGATGAAGATGAAGATGAAGATGAAGATGAAGATGATGATGATGATGATGATGATGATGATGATGATGATGATGATGATGATGATGATGATGATGATGACGAGGATGAGGATGAGGATGAGGATGAGGATGGGGATGGCGATGGGGGTAGGGATGAGGATGAGGACGAGAACCGTGATCAGGACGATGAGGATGAGGATCAGGATGGGGGTGCGGATGAGCATGTGGATGACGATGAGGATGAGGAAGAGGATGTGGGTGATGCTGAAACCGAGGGTGTGGATGTGGATGAGGATGGGATGAGGATGTGGCTGGGGATGTGGATGAGGATGAGGCTGAGGATGACGGTGAGAATGAGGATGTAGGCGCGGATGGTCATGCTGATGGAGGAAGAAGAGGAGGATGAGGATGGGGATGGGGATGGGGATGAGGAAGGGGATGAGGTTGAGGATGAGGATGAGGGTGAGGGTGAGGGTAAGGACAAGACATCCTCTCCGCACGCAAGCCGTCTAGCTCACTCCCACCTGCCCTCCCACCACATGAGTGGCACCCGAGTCTCGTCATAGCCAGGGGTCGCCACTGGATGGACAGCCACTGGGAACCAATGCGGACGCCAGGTGCGCGACGCTCGCCGCGGGCTCCACATGCGGTTGGTGTGCCATCCTTGCAAAAAGCGTGATGCCCTTCCGTCCGCACGGTCCAGATGCTGATGTGGGGGTCGTCAGCATTGTTCTGGGCCTGCGCACAGCACGCACCATCATGCGGGCACCACCGCCGTCCCTGTCAACAACAATACAAAGTGATCGCGGTCGGCCAGCACAATGCCCACGACGCTGTCGCAACGTGCACTTTGCATTGTTTGTGACACGGATGGTGATCCTGCATAAAGCGGCTTCACTAAGGGTGCCCCACCATCCTTGTCAAAAAACAATACAACGTGCTCACAGGGCGCCAGCGCCCTGTCCAGATTTTGCTGCAATGTGCACATCGTATTGTTTTTGACATGGATTGTGAAGGGTGTTGGCAGGGTGGGCCCCGCAATGTGCATTTTGTATTGTTTTTGACGCGGATGGTGGGGGGGCCCGCATGGTTCCGGGTTGGCTGCCCGCCAGGTGGGGGAGGGGGTGTTCATTAGTAGGGAACAATGATTGAGCTTGGAGATTGGGATGAGGATTGCGGAAGAGGATGAGGACGAGGACGGGGATCGGGATGGGGATGGGGATGAGGATGAGGATGAGGATGAGCTTGGGGATGGGAATGAGGATGAGGACCAGGACGAGGACGAGGGTGGGGATGGATGGGGATGAGGATGAGGACGAGGATGTGGATGAGGGTGATGATGAGGGTGTGGATGAGGATGAGGATGAGGATGAGGATGATAATATGGATGATGATGGCGAGGAGGATGAGGATGCGGATGGGATGATGATGATGATGAGGAGGAGGAGGATGATGAGGATGATGATGATGATGATGATGATGATGAGGGTGCGGATGAGGATGTGGATGAGGAGGAGGCGGAGGATACTGAGGATGAGGATGGGGACGGGGACGATTATGATGATGAGGATGAGGAGGAGGATGGACATGAGGATTATAATGAGGATGGGGATGAATCTGAGGATGATGCTGATGATTATGCTGAGGATGAGGATGCTGATGCTAATGATGATAATGATGATACTGATGATGATGATGATGATGGTGATGCTGCGGATGATGATGATGCTGCTGTTGATGATGGTGATGGTTATGATGATGGTGGTGGTGGTGGTGATGCTGATGCCGAGGATGCTGAGGATAATGAGGATGATGAGGATGCTGATGATGAGGATGCTGATGTTGATGATTATGATGCTGATTGTGATGATAGTGATGTCGGTGGTGGTGCTGATGTATATGGTGATGATGTTGCTGATGCTGATGCTAATGAGGAGGATGCTGATGAGGATTAAGATGAAGATGAGGATGGGGACGAACATGGGGATGAGGATGAGGATGAGGACGGGAACTACGATCGGGATGATGGTGATGCTGATGATAATTATGGTCATGATGATGTTGATGCTGCTGCTGATGATGATGATGCTGACG